AACACAACCCTTACATAACATTTTTTGTTGTGTGACACACATATTGACGAAACCATGTTAATTTTAGTTGTTAAAGTGTAATTTAACTCTCCAAATATATAGAATATGTTTTGCCCAGCCTCGTTTAGGTTTACAGCGTTTTGAAGAAACTCATAATAGGCCTTTTAGAAATATTGTTGTAAATTTACCGCACTCTAGCTGATTTTATCGATTCTTTTTGTAAGCTAAAACTTTAATTTCTATGAATATTTCAGAATCCAGCTGCTTACCATGTATTGTGGCGAAATGGAATTTCACGTTAATTTTTTTAGAGAGAAGGTTTACGCTAAACTTAATTGAAACAGCTTATAAAATAATCTTACTTTGTGTATTATGTTAAAAAGAAGTTATAGATTCGTGGCATTCAAGGGTCGCCCTTGTCACAAACGTCAAGACACTTCTATTCACCGACGTTTCGGCCTTGATGCAGAGAGCCATCTTCAGTACGACTTGACTTCCGAGCAGTTGTAACATTTCATAGCATGTCAATAGTCACTTGCTACTAGAACTGTGTGAAAGTCTGAAGATGGCACTCTGCTGGTCCGAAACCTCGGTAAATTGAGGCTCTTCTTCATTTACGAAACAGTCGACTGCCAAAACTGAACATCTGCAGTGACTACAGAAAGCAATGCAGTAATAAAATTCACTCTGTCGATGTAAATGGAAGAAAACGTATCTTATCCTACAACGCCAAACTTGTCCGCGTAATTTTTAAAACCTCCTAATCAACTAGATCGTAATATCTTGCAGTTTCAAGTCTACTAACTAAAAAAATCCTTTTTTACGAGGAAGTCAAAATATTGAATAGACCAAGTGTTTGAAGGAGTTAACAATTACTTTACACAACTTGGTAACAGGCTACATTACATGTAACGTTAAATATTGAAATGTTATACTGTACGGAAATGCGAAATGCAGTTAAAATACTTGTACATGCATAAATAAATTTAAGCAGGTACTAAATGACAAACGATATCAATGCTAATTTATCACTATTAGAAAATACACAAAAAATCGAAAATAATAAAGCTTAAGTCATAGAATAAGCAAAAAGCATTTTATAATGGTTATTTGGTTACCAAATCCAATTTGGAAACCACCTCACGTTACTGAGTGATAAATTTCAGTTTTATTTTATTGGTATAATCTGAAATCTTGGCACGTTTACGATTGAAATAGTTATTTTTTTATTCAACAGGACTTTGATCGTCTTGAGTTGATAAAGTAGGTATTCCACGTTTTATAATCCTACTTTTCTTTGAAGAGATTTAAAAATTTCTAACGTATTATATTTCCGAATACGGCTTTCCATAAAGTTTTACAAAACAGTAAATCTCTAAGCTTATGTATACCTTATACAGGGTGGCTGGTCATCAGTGTGACAAAATTTTTTTGGCGTAAGTACAAAGTAAATGCAGTGTAATGATGCATATAAAAGGTTCCAAGTCTAAAAATTAGCTTACCAAAGAATTATTTTATGTTTTTCAAAAATAACTATGTTTTCAAACTTAATACAGCTTTTTCTCAATTACCTGTAAATGGATTTGAGTAGACAATGTCATTTTCGTGTTCTACATAAAATTTTGAATAAGAATAATATAAAATGACGGAGGATCAGTTGTTAAAACTCCATTGTAAATAGATTCAAAGATAAAAATTAAGATGTTTGATAAAAATTTAAAAAACATTGGTCTATTGTATTTGTTCACACCCTGTATACAAGAAAGTGTCCGAATATATTAAAAACTGCGCCATTTTATAAGCTTTCTAACCATATGCTACACTATTGAGGTTTATATATTCTGTTGTTTGTTTTAGTGGTTTGAATACCAGAAACAGGGAACTTTTTTACTGTTTTTACTGTTCAAGCTGAAAAAATACAACTTTTGCTTAATACATGCCTGCTTTCTATGTTTTAAATGTTAAAGACACCCTGTTTTCTGGTATTCAAACCACTAAAACAAACAACAGAATATCTAAACCTCAATAGTTTAGCATATGATTGGAAAGCTTATAAAATGGCGCAGTTTTTAACATATTCGGACACTTTCTTGTATACAAGGTGTAAACAAATACAATAGAAAATGTTTTTAAATTTTTTCTCAATCATCTTAATTTTTATCTTTGAATCTACTTACAATGGAGTAATTATATTATTCTTATTCAAAATTTTATGTAGAACACGAAAATGACATTGTCTACTCAATTCCATTTTTTGAAAACATAGTTATTTTTGAAAAACATAAAATAATTATTTGCGAAGCTAATTTTTGGACTTGGAACCTTTTATATGCATCATTACACTGCATTTACTGTGTACTTACGCCAAAAAATTTTGTCACACTGATGACCAGCCACCCTGTATATTACTTGTATATTTTTTGAAAAAAATATTTAAAAATTGTATTTAAAGTTGGTTTGAGTTTTATTTATTTTTTCGTATATTTTTTTAAAGTGCTTAACCCATTCATGAAACTCGGTCACTTATTTAATTATTCGCCCTGATAGTTTCACTTGTACCAAGACATGCAGTTTTTGAGTGTAACTATAAATTGATCAATTACTGTAGGCAATTCATATTCATTAGACCGTTTATGTTAACGAGACTTTGCCATTTGGATGGGTTTTTTCCCAGAAACTCGAGTAATATGGGTGTAGGATATACTATACAAGTATCATTATGGACTACAGATTGTAGGATATTATTTTTGATTCAAGTTGAGAGCCAAATAAGACATTACGTAGTGTAAATATTGATATCTTGGAAATAAATTGAAACAAAGATTTTGATATGTCAGTCAAACTAGAATCGATGTAAGGAAATTCAAAGAAATTATTATTAAATAATTTATTCAGTACAAATTAGAACCATATTCAAGGGAACAAAAAGAATTGGGAAGTTGAGAGAATATTTAAAATTAAGTCCAACACTCTTTTGATTACCGATAAAAGGTTCTTTGTCAATCACATCTCTGGAGTCGCTTCCTCCTCTATATTAAATTTGTATTTATTTATCGATGGTTATAACAAGGCATGTGGAACATTCTTGTTTTCATTATTACGATTCTTTCATTAAAAGCAAAAGATGTTTTATATTCATTGTACTGTATAGGAGTGTTTTTATCTTTTTATTTTTATCTAAAAAAATGGTCATATAAAACATTTGGCGTACCAAAAAATATGTTACTAACAAAGTATAAATTCTTGAACAACAGCCAACAGATCTTTAGATTAAAATCAATAATATTCTAGTTATTTTTCAAATTTTAGCCATATATATGATTATTATTTTTGCATTATAAATAATAATCAGAAAGCTTTAAGTCTGAAAATTTTGTTATACGATAAACATTCAAATTCAAAGAATATACTATACGTTGAGTAGTCATGCATAAACCATGGACGATAACTTTGTCCAGGTAAAGGGAGATTTGGTCACAGATATTTCTACAGATGTATTTCCATTTCATTACACAAGTCTAGCCAAATTCGATAGAACGTGTAATCGCTAGTCAATGCGACAGTAAACACGGTCAGTTTAGTGGTTTCGAAAAATCTTTCTCCTATTGAAAACATTAAGTGATTTCTTTGTTATTTGAGGTATTCATTTGGACTTTCGTCTTTTGTAACAACGTTTGTGTTGCTCTTTCCTCACTGTTATAGAAGTTATGTTTCATAATTGAGCTAAAATACTTTTTGACTTAGAATAAAACTTGCACCAAAATTTGAGTAACACATAGGCACTGCTTTCACTAGCAGTTAAATAAATATATTGGTGATAAATTTCATCCGAAACGATAGTAACTCACTACTTAAATGCATTACAGACTACTAACAGTAGTATAATTAGTAGTCATCATGGATATGCTAGTTTTGAGTTAATAGATTATTTGAATATGTATATATAGTTGTATAAATTAACCGGTAAAGCAAGCTGTTTCATCAGGTTATCTGCAAACCTAACGACCTGAGTTTGCAAATGAACCCAGGCTAATAACCTTTGAGCTCCTAGAAATACATTTCACATGCATGCAAGAGCACGTAGAAGACCGACCTTTATCTACTTAATCTACCATCTGTCTGTTTACTGTTATGACTTATTTTTAAAATCATAATTTTAATTTAGTCATTTTATTTTAACTTTGTTTTATGTTAAGGGGCACACTAAATAAAGTAAATAAATATAAAATTTGTACAGAATATTAATTTAGAATTTATTCATTTTATAGTTAAGACCATTGGCTTGGCCTTAAATTTCTTTTCACGCTTTGGATACTCTTTAACAAGGATATCAGGTCTTTTCTGTTTGTGAAAATTACAAAGGAAATTACTAGCGGTTCGTTCCTATTAATTCTTTGAGAAAAATTACAGACTTAATTCCTACAGTGAGTTTGAATCGTATAATTTTTAAAATTTGGAATAGGACATATAGAATTACAGCGTAGGACGCAAGACAAAGTTAATCCATCATGCTACATAAAAAATCCTAAACATTATTACATCTTTGCAACATTATTCAAGTAGAAAAAGCTTATTTTTTTTAAAATCGTTATTATAATGTTTTTATATGTAATGTGCACGAAATGATTTTTTATAGTATTTGCGAATTTTGTTGTTGTTAGTATTTGCAAAGATTACATATGCTAAAAGCATATGTAATCTTTGGTATTTGTAAGTGCTGATGGATTTGCTTTAACGATCTATTAAGTAAAAAGAGTGTAGAGATGTAATTAATCCAAAACTTAAATGAACACGTATTAATGAGTTGGAATAATTGTAAAATTATTTACAATGCAGAATCCATAAAAGGATGTATCTATTACTTACTACTGTACTTAAAATACTTAAAATTGCTTTGCCCTTTGAACTATGTTTTAAGGGAGAAACCACATATCCTCGTCTTAATAAAAGAACATACACTTTCACAACGTATTACGAGATTAACTTTCAATTTGTTTCAGAACAATGGCGGATCTCCACTACAACGTGACCGGCTATCCCTTCCACCACGACAACGACACAGATATGTTTGGCTACGTTCCGTACTCTGAGAGACCAGAGACCTACATTGTGCCCGTCGTCTTCGCCGTCATCTTCCTGGTGGGAGTCTTGGGCAACGGCACCCTTGTCTTCATCTTCGCTCGCCACCGCACCATGAGGAACGTCCCCAACACCTACATCTTCAGCCTAGCCTTGGGTGATCTTCTAGTAATCATCAGCTGTGTTCCCTTCACCTCCATCCTGTACACCATAGAGTCTTGGCCGTGGGGAGAACTGATCTGCAAGCTGTCAGAAGCCACCAAGGACATCTCAATTGGAGTTTCAGTGTTTACGTTGACAGCTCTCAGTGCAGAGAGGTATTGCGCTATAGTGAACCCAATCAGGAGTCATATATCCTCGAAGCCATTAACCATTGTGACGGCGGTGTTGATATGGATAATGTCAATGATCTTAGCACTTCCAGCTGCTATATTCTCAAACGTACAGACAGCAGATGTTCAAGATAATCACACTATAGAGTACTGCTCTCCGTTTCCCAAAGAATACGGGAGCACCTACGAAAAAGGTGTTGTACTTTTTAAGTTTTTAGCGTACTACGCTATCCCGCTGTTTGTCATTGCAGGATTTTACATATTGATGGCTCGCCATCTAATGTTGAGCACGAGAACCCTTCCTGGTGAACACAACCCGAGCAAATCTGCCATGAACCAAATACAAGCTAGGAAGAAAGTGGCGAAGATGGTGTTGGCTTTCGTTATGATCTTCATCTTCTGCTTCCTTCCCTACCACATCTTCATGTTGTGGTTCCACTTCTACCCGTCATCACATGACGACTACGATGACTTCTGGCACGCGTTTCGCATCGTCGGGTTCTGCCTCAGTTACATAAACTCCTGCATCAATCCCATCGCATTGTACTTTGTCAGCAAAGCTTTCCGCAAACATTTCAACCAGTATTTGTTCTGCTGTGTTCGTGCTACTAACGAGATCGGCGACAACACCATCAACAACCTCAACAGCTCTATATCGTTTCGCAGACACAACTCTGTGATGACAAGTCATTACTCTATCAGTCACAGTGACAAGTCCTGACGGTTCGTGTGGTGCGTGGACAAGTTCGAAGGTAACTGACACCCACCGCCTCACAGTATACGTGTGGTATACAACACTCCCTAGACCAGGGTTTGTATTTAGGTGTAACCTGTGAATTTGTAGTGAATATTGACTGCCAAAAACATATTACTATGTGAACTACTTAAACTGTATATAAGTTATAAAAGCACTTTCTCCGGTTTTGTGAATAAAAACAAACATTGTTCAAAACGTTTTATTAGCGATTCATGAGTATGAAGGACAAAACTTTACAGAAATAAAAATTTTCCATTTGAGATATATTTCAAAAAATATGAATTCAATTTAGGTATTAACAATATTTCAACACGGCAGTTTTACAGCCATCTTATGTGTGTATATTATGTATTTTTATGTTATTGTAATCTAAGCTAGGTTATTAATAAAGAGTTTTAGTAGTTTATTGCTCGACTACGTAAATGTACCATCAGATACAAGAATAATAATTATTATTTTTTTAAATTATGGATTAATAGCTTGAAACCATGTGATGGAACAACCATACTCAGTGAACTACTATGTCCCTGCTTAAATGGTGTAAAATTGTTCATTCTACTTTGGGTTTTTCATTTATTTTATTTGCAGATAGGAATACCATCAAGATGTGTTATGATTAGTTAACCTGATTAGTTAACCAATAAAGCATGTGCTAAAACAGTCAAAACTCTTAGTTTATACACTTCTGTATGGTTAACGAATGAAGACGGGCAGTTTACCAGAGAAAAGTGGGTTTTGGAATCATATGACACCTAAACCATCAACAATTTGTTTGGCGTTTCTTATTTAGTTTACAACTCCGCACTTCACAGACTTTTTTATGTACTTATGGACGTTAAATAAGAGTATGTTTTTTTATGATTATACCGTATATGATTATTATGTATAGGGTGGCTGAAAAGTAACTTCCACCCCCCTTAACTTTTCAACAATTTGAGATATTTGAAATCGGTTTGCGGCAACCTTCTTAGAAATGAGATGTTACAATAATTATTGCTAATTTTGAAAACTTTGCCCTTAGATTTCAAATATTTCAAAAGGTTTCAAAGTTAGGGGGATGCAAGTTACTTTTCAGCCACCCTGTATAGTTTGATTACATTTTATAAACTTTATTGGGACATGTACGCTTTTTAGAAAGGCACCTTTAACACAATTACTTAATCTAATTCAATAATTATTTATTAATAAATAAATTAGCTGATTTTAAGGTCTCAAACACATTTTAACTTCCTATGACCTGCAATCTGTCCGATGTTTCGTAGCATTTCTTTCTTTTTTTTATGCAAAGCTGAATATATAGATATTTTTCTATCACAGGTCTGGTTTAAGTTAAACATTTAGAAGGATTATACTATAAAGAAAAGGAATAAAGCTACCATTACAGTCACTCGTCGTTAGTTTTTTTTTCTCAATAATTCCAACCTTTGGTAACAAAAAGAACCTTTAGTCACATAAATTGAATGGTCAATAATCTTTTAATAACATTGAAACTGATTTTATAGAATTATGCACGAACAATCATAATTAATTCAAATAAATATTGTTTTTAACTATAGTTTTCTGTAAAATACAGTCAGATCCACCTTTATCACCTCTTATATTACCTTGCACCTTGTCATATGTTGAGATCTGAGAGATGTGTAAATGTTATTTTAGTATATTTTACAGCAAATTATTCCCAATGAAATACATTACAGGTATGTGATTGTTATTTTTGTAATAAACGAATATGTGATATTAAACGCTTATATTTCTCACCTAATCTATGTTTCACTTCTTGATCTGGCCAAGGCTAACAGAGGATACATAAGGCTATGTATGCATTCTTTGATGTAATTAAAGGTTCTCAGGTAAAAAAATCAGCTGATATAATTTAGACATAAAATACATCCATTATACTTTACACATGGTTTGAATTTTAAAGCTCCTTTTAATAGCCCCGGAAGTGCAATATTGACTAATATGCCTTTTACAACCTGTCAGCAGTTCCAAATCATAAGTTTTAACTTTGCCTTGTAGCAATACTTAGTGCATTATATAAGAAGCAAAAATAAATAATTTTCTTCGTACAAAGTAGTGGGAAAGACCTCTACCCAACCCTGGCCTCAATTTTGAGCAAGCTGTTTGCTAAGCTGGTCAGATTTTTTTGTGATTGGAGTACCTTTACACTTATGGTTTAAACCAATTGATTTCACATCTTTTATTTAGAAAACGTTTTCTATTTACATCATACTTGGGTAGCCAACATTTTAAATACATATGTTCAGAAGGCAATGAGATGATAACCTGGAACCTGAGGCAACTATCCATTAATCCATCAATCCGTGTCCAACCATGCATAACAGTCTATTCATCCATACATCTCCATATATCTCACCGTCTTAATATCCTTTTTATCAAAATGTATACTGTATGGATTTATATGCAACTCCCTACCAATAAAGTTTTAGGTGGACATTCCTCAGCCATTCATAATGTTAAATGTCTTAACATACTGAGATAATATATAACCTCAAAATATATTTCAAGCAGAGAAAAAAAAAACTCTTGAAGATTTGTATTACATTTTTATAGATTCACACCTCCAGATGTGGTTTGTTGGGTCTTTTATATGCTGTTAAGACTGAAGATGTGGCGTTTGCAATTCAGTTAAGCTAAACAGCTACAAAAGTTAAGTATATAGCTGAATTCATGTATACCACTGCTTCTACGCGTGATTAAGGTACAGTATCATCAGAGCTACATGTTCGTTTTAACATCTTTTCCAATCACTGAATGCATTTTCAAGTAGTTTTTTTTTATAATTTGACTACTGATACGCAATTAAGTTTCCAGTACTGTAAAGGCCTAAAGGTTAAAGTACCTGTTACTGTCTTGGAATACGCGTTTTGATGTAAACACATCATCATAAGGTCAAACTTGCAGACATTTTAACCATTGTCGAGTTGGTCATGTCAATATTTACGAAAAACACACTTAACGTTATTTTCATTATCTGACTCCACCGATTTAACAATGGTTGAAGTATATTCAAGTTTTGACCTGATGAGGATGTATTTGCATCGAACCGCTTAGTCCAACAAAGGAGCAGCAGAATCATAAGACAGTAACAGGTATTTTAACCCTTATAAAATATTTATCATCGTAAAACTATTAATGGGGTAATACATAGGCATAGCTTGAAATTCAAATATTGTTTCGATTGAGCGCATTGTCAATTCGTAATCGATTTTTGACCTACAAAAGGCCACAGAAAGCCTTTGAATGCTAGTAGGGAAATTTATCAAGGGAATGGATTTACCCCAAACGAGCATTATTGGGTCCATAAATCTGACTTGCACTCTCAATTCTTTGGATATGCCATAAGCTTAGTTTTCAAATTTTGCAGTTGAATTTCGTTCTATATTATGAACAGTTCAATATATGATGTGGATAAGAGATCGAGGATTATGTCCGGGGCATTAAATTATAACTGAGTTTAATTTTATGCATGCCATGCGTAGGTGCTGGTGTTATTTTTATTGACTGAAAATCTCGTTGTTCAGAAACAGGTTTAACAATATTGTTAGGAATAAATCTTGAATTAGAGTATAGATCATTATCATCACGTTTTAGCGAATTTCCTTATAGGGAAGTAGCTATTACCTTGAGTGGCACGGTAAGACCTAGGCCCGGGACTGATTTACTTTTTTCATTTTGATGTCCCCAAAGGCCAAAAACACAGTTTGTTCCAATTTGTATATATGTGTGTGTGTCCGTAAACGTGATCACTTGAGTAATTTTTGCGCGATTATGATGAAATTTTGTTTAAACCTACCTAAACCTAATAACCTCACAGTTGATTAAATACTTCGGGTAAAGCCCTCTAATATTTGTATGAGACGCGATTTTTTACAATTTGAAAGTATGTTGTGTTTTGTTAACAAACAATGAGACATTTTAATAGTTTATTTTTAAATTCACATTCCTACACAACTCCAATATCTCTTTTTCTAAAGTTGAAATGACATAATCCCGATATTCTCAGAACAGAAACTTAACAAGAGTTTTTGTTTGTGGTTAGTGCTTTCTGAATCCCTTAAGCAGAATCCATTAGTGAGATTTCTTCTTACAAAAATGCATTTATAAAGAGTAAAAAGTATTATTCCCCGTCAAAACATAAAGTTTGAACGTTAAACATTTTTGTGGAAACAAGAAAATAGATTTTTATTTATTGACTCATTTCTCTACTATAATTATATAATTAGCTTATAAGTAGTTAAAATATTTAATTATAACATGTTCAACATATTGTTTTTTATGAGTGAACTGCGCAATAACTTCAAAGCGAACATTGATGATCTAGATTGAATACTACTTTGATTTTTACTCATTGCAAACCAAATAAGAACAATATTTTTCATAATGTTTATTATCAAGACTCGGTATGATAATTATATAGTTTACTCTATTCATAAAGAAAAATACAAAACTAAATTATTTTAAAAGGAAAACAGTGCTTTAACTTCTTTAAATTGCTAAATAAATAATGTGATTAAAAATTAAAACTTTAAAAGGCAAATTATTAATAAAAATTACAATTACGTCGGTTAAATCATTGACTATACTCCGAGTAGACTTTTCATACAATGTAAAGATTTGAAGCCAAGAAAATATAATATGTTCAAGACCATGGTTAAAATGTAAGTTGTAAGATATCTACTATACAACCTAACATTTATATTTTTGTATTTAAAAATTTTGAATGCGACTTGAAAGAGAAAATATTTTAAGCCTCCGGTCTATCTATGCCGCGTGATGGAATCCGCCATTTTACAAGATTATAGCTTGCAGCTACCAGTGATGGCGTTGAATTACCCTTGATATTTTAAAACGAATTTGCCTTTCGTTACACTTCACGGAATGGCACTTTTAGAGCTGTCACTTTTCAAAATTGAAAGGATTTTAGTCCAGCATAAGTACCGGTAACGTATAAGGTACAGTAAAGATTAATATGCCATTTGACTTGTTTTTATCAGACGTATTTTTTTATTACACCTACTTCTTCCTAAGTTTATTTCTATAATTTTAATATAAATTACATAATTGATTATATTTCATAAGTATCATTTGGAGGACTGAACTATTCCTAACATACTCAACAATTCTCAGTAATAACACGTACAAAAAGTATACATTAGTGACGTAAAGAAGGGATAGGTTTCTATACAGAACATTGATTTTCTTATTATAGTTTATGGCTGTCCTATCGTTCTAGCAAATTCATGTTACAAACGTTTAACTTATGGACAAGTTTTAAAATAACCTACTTCTCTATTTTAACAAACATCAAAAAACTATCCTACTT